CCCTCTTTGTAAACAATCTCACTGAATCTTCCCAAAAGCTCTGTGAGGGGCAGCTCCTACTAACCCCATTTAACACAAGAGAAATGGGGGCTCCCCATGGCTGTGCTGTTTGATCATGTTGCGTGTTGTGTGTGGTCCATTCGGCAAAGGCCTAGGTTTAACCACAGACGACATTCAATGCAATTTTGACAACAGGGGCTTTGGGGACTCTGACCCATCAGTGAAGTGCTGACAAGGAGCCTGCCGGAGTCCGCCAGCTGAACCCCCACCCTACTGGCCACCCAAACAAGTACTTGGAATTATGCTGGGAAGAGAGTGGGCACCAGAACCTTTTTAGCTCTTCCTTTCCTTGTCATTATTTTCATTATTAATTACTCTGCCCAGGATTCTGGGGGAAAGCAGGCCATTCTTTTCCATTTCACCGGGCATTATCTTCCAGATTTTCTAAGATCTTATTTACAGGTTACTGTGCTGCTCAGGAATCTTCCAGATCTCCCCCTTGCCTGTAGGAAACAGGCGAGCTGCTCTGCTCGGCACAGCTCTCTAGGACCGGCTCCAGGCTCCCTCTCCAGGTAGATCCCCCTCCTCCCCCTCAAGGAGACCCTTCTCCACCAGGCTGCCCTCCCGCCCCGCCCCCCAGCACTGGGCTTCTCCCCGTGGTCTTCACCAGCCATTCCCCCTCCGCAAATGCCTCCTCAACCAGCCATCTCTGCCAAGAAGTGTCAGACTCTTCTAGCCCTCAGGGAGCACCCACTTTTGAACGCCCTCCAACTGCCCCCGTCCTGTTCCCACTTGTCCCCTTGTCAAGCAGCATCAGACACAGGTCTCTGCCTCCCAGCACAGCAATCACAGAAACCACTCCTAACGGGAGCTGTGGTGTTGCTCCTGAGTCACTATTTCCCGGACTTGGATGTGCTCACGATTCCCCCTGGGGATCTTGAAAAGCCAAGATCCAGGTTCATTAGGACGGTGGGCCTCACTCTGCCTTTTTGACCTCTGCCCAGGTGACCCTGATGCGGCTGGCCCTGGGGCCCTGCTTAGAGCAGTGACGGTTGAGGTTTCCATCAGAGCTTCTAGCCCCTTGGTTCTCAACCATCAAGACTCCCCTTTTAAATGGCTGTGGGTGGGCCAGGCACTGGTTTTGGAAATGCTCTTCCGGTGACTCTGATGGGCATCCGGGGCCAGCGCTGTGATCCAGGCTGTGTAGATTCAAAGCTCTTGGAGGACAGGGTCTGGTTCGGGACACAGGGACAGGTGGGGGGAGTCCAAAGCACCCTCACATTTCACACTGGGTGCCTACTAAGTGTCAGAGCACTTGGAGGGCATCAAGGGAGGGCATCCCCCGCCCCTCGCCCCCGACAGTCCAGCCCAGACAGGATTTTGAACCTACCAACACTACCCACCCCTGGCGCGGGCAGAGCAGGACTTGGGAAGGCCTGGCTGCGGGGAGGGGAGCCCAAGGAGACGGGTGCCACGAGCGCCCTACTCCTGCAGCTGCCTAGTGGGGCCAGGGCCCACCAAGGCCCCTCACCCCCACCCCTGCACCCAGGAAACAGGCAGAAGTGCCCACTCAGCAGGTATGCAGCGCCCTCTGCTGGACGTTTGAACCACTTTTCCCCAGGGACTCCCAGGGTGAAGCGCGGCCCTGAGACCACTTCGTCTCACCCCCTGAAATCTGGCAAGGTCAAAGCAGGGCCGGCTGTTCTGTGTCTCCTCTACGTCTCCCTATTCCAGGACGGGAAATACTTGCTCATAGAGCCAGATGGCACTGAGGCCTTTCCTGCCCCTCCACCTTTTCCTTCTCACGTCACTGGGCTGCATGTAGTGGCTCATGTTTAGAGGCAACGGAACTGAAAACATGACTTTTGCTGTGTGTCCCCAAGAGGGCTCAGCCTTGAGCTCCCATGATTCCTTGTCTAGACTCCCCTGTGGGGCCAGGGAGAGGTCAGTGCCAGGACCAACTGTGATGGGAGTTAGCATTCTGTCTGGGGCCCCGGGCTAGGCCCAGGGGTCAGCCTGTGGCTAGGGTCTGGGGTCATTCTTGCAGAGTTTGGGGTCAGCGGTGTCCAAGGTTGAGGCTCAGGAGCCAGGTAAGCACCTGGCTTACAGCATGCATGAATATCAGAATAATATTTTGATGGCCAGGTCCATCTCATTACAGCCTCTGGCCATGTGTCTGCCCATGGTGATGGAGGTCAGTGTCTAGGAGACACAGGCAGGAGCAGAAAATGCTGGAAACAGAGGCAGCCTGGTTTCCTCCAGCCCGCTCTTTTTTCCTCCATACCTTTGCTCTTCTTGGGGCTGAGAGGCAAGGCATCCATGCGCAATGCCTCATGGGTGTGATCCATGGAGGGTCCAGGGCTTTGGCTCTGTCTCTGGGTTTAACACCTTGTTGTAATCGCCCTTGGCTTTGTCACTCGTGCATGCTTGAGACCAGGCCAATGTGAGCAATACTGAGGGGAAGGCGCCCCTCAGGCATTATGTTTGGGGAGAGTAATTGATGCTGCTGTAGACCAGGGACGTGGTAACTGAAGCCTGAGGATGGGCTTCATGGGTATTCTAGAAACCCACACACTCACCTGGAATCCTATGTGGATTTCTGCATGTGGGGCTTTCTGGGGCTTTCTTTCTTTCTTTTTAAAACTAGATTGTCATTTGGGGCTTTCATTAGATTCTCAGAGGGCCATAACCAAAAAAAAAAAAAAAAAAAGCTAGGAATCCTTACCTAAGCCCATCCTTAGCTTCCCCCCCCCTCAAAAAAGCACCTTTTAAAATCATAGCTTTATTGGGCTATAACTGACAGGCAATAAACTACACACTATATATTTATAGTGTCCAGCTTGGTAAATTTGACATTTATATACTCTGTCAAATGATCACCACACTTAAGACAATGAACACAGCCACTGCCCTGAAAATGGATCTGCTTTCTGATCCTATAGATTCATTTCTAGAATCTTCTATTAGTAGAACCATACAGTATGTACTTTTTCTGGAAGGGGGTCCGGTTTCTTTCACTCAACCAGATTATTTTGATATTCATGCATGCTGTTGAGTGTATCAATAGTTTATTACTTTTTATTGCTGAGTGGTACTCCATTGTGTGGGTATGCCACAATTTGTACAACCATTCCGCTATTGCTAGACATTTGAGTTGTTCCCGATTCTTGGCTATTATGAATAAAGTTGCTATGAACATTCATGAATACATACCTGTGTGGACTTATGCTTTGCCGTCTCTTGGGTAGATACCCAGCAGTGAAAAGAAACTTCCAAACTGTTTTCTAAAATCGTCGCACCATTTTGCATTCCTATTGGCAATGGACAAACATTCCAGTTGCTCCACATCTTGTACAACACTTGGTGAGGTTAGTCTTTTGAAGTCATTTTTAGCCATGGGACTGGGTGAGTAGTGATATTTCCTTCTGCTTTTTCCTTCTTTCTTTTTCTTTTTTCTTTTTTTTGCATTTCCCTAATGACTAATGACATTGAACATTTATTTATGTGCTGCTTTGTTATCCAAATCATCCATGAGGTGTCTGTTCAAATCTTTTGCCCATTTAAAAAATTGGGTTGTGTGTTGTCTTCTTATTGAATTGGAAGAGTTCTTTGTACAGTCTAGACACCAGGCCTTTGTTGAATAGATGTGTTTTGAAAATGGTTTTCCTAGAGTGAGACTTGCCTTTTCATTTTCATAACCACTTCTTTTGAAAAGCAAACATTTACAATTTTGATGAAGCTCAATTTATTTCTTTTTCCTTTTATAGCTTGTGCTTTTTGTATCCTATTTATGAAGTCTTTGAGAAACCTAAAGTCACTAGGATTCCTCCTGTGTTTTTTTTTTCTCTAAGTTTGTTAAGTTTAGCTTCTACCTTTAGCTTAATGATCCTTCCAGTTAATTTTTGTAAATGGTGTAAATGGTGCAAATTACAAATCAGAGTCCTTTTTATTTTTTTTATTTTTTTAATTTTTTTTGTATATGGACATCTGATTGCTCCAGGACTATGTTTGAAAAGATTATCCTTTACCAATGGCCTGGCCCCTCTGTCAAAAATCTATTGACTGTGACCATATATATATATATACTTTTGGGCCATCATTTTCCTTGATCTTTATGCCAATGCCATACTGTCTTGATTACTATAGTCTTCTAATTAGTCACAAAATCAGACAAATTAAGGTTTTCAGTTTTGTTATTTTTCAAAGTTATTTTGACTGTTCTAAATCTTTTGCATTTCCATAAAATTTTAGAGTCTGTTTGGCAATTTCTCCCAGAAGCCTGCTGGCATTTTTACTGGGATTCCATTGAATCTATACATTAATTTGGCAGAAAATTGGCGTTCTTATAATATTGAATCTTCTAATCCATTAACATGACACATCTCCCCATTTATTTGGTTCTTTTGCTTAATTTCTCTCACCAGTGCTTCATAGTTTTCAGTGTGCATGTCTTACACATCTTTTATCAGATTTATCCTTTAGAATTTCATATTTTTTCATGCTCCTTAAGTGGCAGTATTTTTAAATTCCATTTCTGATTACTCATTGCTAGCACATAGAAATACAAGTAATTTTTGAATATTGATCATGCATTCTACAATTTTCTAAATCACTTATTCTAGTAACTTTTTTGTAGGTGCTATAGGTTTTTCTGTGTAGTCGATCATGTTACCTGCAAATAAAGTTTTGCTTCTTCTGTTTGACTGAGATGCTTTTTATTAATTTTTCTTGCCTTATCACATTGGCTTTGACCCCAATGCAATGTTAAATAAGAATAGTAAGAATTGATTTCCTTTCCTTGTTTCCAGTCACACATAGTAAGAAGGTATTCAACCTTGGTTTTTATTTGCCCTGGTAAGTTCTAGACAAGTTCAAAGGGGTGGCCTTTTAGGACTGATTTGAGGGCCCTGGAGTTAGCCCTGGGCAGTGTGCCCTTCTTTCCTGTGTTCTGGCTGTGCATCATGGCTACTTCAAGTGCCTCTTCAGGGCAGAGATGGTATATTTGACTCCAATTCTTTTGCTATGCTTGGCGTGGTTGGTCAGCTTGACAAATCCTCAGTGCCAACCAGGTCACCGAATCACACAGAAAGGGCCTGTTGTGTGCTCTTTGTTTTCCCCCTAAACCAAAAGCAGTCATGCTTTCCTCCTTCCTTCTCTTCCCCCTCCAGAAACCTGAATGGAAGGAGACATGAAAGAGAAGGGCTCAGGTTTCTCCAGCATCAAGTTACTTTCATGAAGTGTCCTCATTCAAAAATAAACCTGAGGGGATGAGGGGAGGAGGGTGACAGAGACAAGAGGGAGCTGTTAGCATAGCTCTGCTTCCAGGCTGTATTTTTATTTTAGGGCTGGCATTTAGGTTTGGCCTGGGGACAAGCGGCTGGAAAATGCAAGGCATTTCCTCTTCCTGTCAGCTGGAGACACTATGTGTGTGTGAGTGTGTATATGGGCCTCTGCCACCTTCCACTTAGCACCTCTGAGTGACCAACAAAATACACTTCCTCCACAGGTCTGCTACGTCCTTGGCCCCACCAAGCCCTTCCAATCCCATCTCATCTTTGGACACTCTCAAGACTCCCCCTACGTGGGACCATTGCACATGCTGATTCCTGCAGGGAGAAGAACCCCTTGCTGCCTCAAGGGCAGACTCTGTGCTCTCTGAGGTCCTGGGTGGGATATTTCAGGAAGACTCGATGATGTAACAGGCTCATTTATTCACTTGTTTACTCATTACTTGCTGTGGGCCATGTGTGAATTACTTAATTCCTCAGTACCTTAATTTCCCCATTTGTAAAATGAGGATGGTCATAAAACCTGCCTCATAAGAGGGTTAAGAGGGTTCAGTAAGTTAGTAGGTGCAACGTCCTTGAAACAGCACCTGGAAGGTAGTTAGTTTTCAGTAAAGGGTGATGGTATCATTTGATCATGTATACTGGCCTTGAGCTTGGGCAGAGGCGGGGGCTGTGGCAGTGGACTAGACCGACATGGTGTCTGACCACTTGTGACTTATTCTGTTGGAGATCTGTATGCTGCCTGTGACTTTAAGTTCTCAACTTCAGCTTTGGAGCGGAGCACTACTGTCTCTCCAGGGAGTGAAAGGTCTCCTTTACTCCCTACAGGTTGATGAAATATATAGTAAGAGACATGATGGTAGTGATGTCATTGGCACTTTGTGGCGCTCTGGCTGGCTTTGCGTCTTCTTTGCTTTATAGAGTTTATCTCACTTTTCAGGGGCTCATTTCCCTTATTTGTAAAATGAGAAAAAGAGCAGTTAACATGGATGCTCCCCTAGGTTCCATTCCGATCCTTTTCTTCACGAACGAATCATCTTTTTCTCTCACTCCCTATCATCTTCTCCTTCCCATACACGTATCAGGGCTGATCTTCCCCAGGACCCCACTGGATGGCACTCCCCAGAGTTGTACAGTGCACAGCCTGTTCAGCTGTATAATCTAGCCTGTTTATGATCCACCTAAGTTCCTAGAATCCTGTCTCCTGAGTTTATGTGAAGAAGAAAAAATATATAGTCTCAACCAGATGAACTAGGAATGGCAAACAAAATACACTTATCTGATCCCCCTTTTTATTATTCCATAAATTGGGAAGGATGTTCCACTGTTGGTTTCTTTTTCCTGAGCCTTAATTAAACAAGCACTTGTTGACATTCCAGTCATTCATTTAACAAATATTTATTAAACACTTATAGTGGGTGAGGCACCGCAGTAGGTGCTGGGGTACAGCCGAGACTGAGGTCCTTGTTCTCATGGAGAGTGAGTTATAGTTCAGGGAAACAGAAAGGAAACAGGCAGACAAATAGGCAAGACAGTCCAAGAAGGTTGGGTACAGTGTAGACAATGACAGAGGGTCCTGGGTAGGTTGGTGTGAGGGAACAGCTTTAGACCATCATGAGGGAAGTCTTCTCCAGGGAGATGACATCTGAGAGGTCATGTGAATGACCAGCAGCCAGCCACATGGACATGGGTCTCTTCACACTGGCTTGGCAGAAAAGGAGTGAGGTCACCTCACCCTCTTAGCCTCTTTTCATCACTCCTTGCTTTTTCTCTACACCACCATTCCACTTCCCCTTCCTCCGAGATGGGATCCCCAGTGGCCCTCCATCTGGAGAATGGAGAAGTCTGCAAATGGAGACTCATATATCTTCATTCAGACTAAAGCTGCCCTTTCCTCCTTCCTCCTCTGACAGACCCAAGCAGAGAAGAGGGAATCTTTCAGGTCTTGCTGTGGGAGGATGTTTAGGGCAAGTCTCCCCTTGAACCCAGCTGTCACAAGGCTGTGCAAGGGGCACCTGGAAGAGAGGTCACTCGTGTCTGCCTCGCTTTCTCAATGGCTGCCCTGCCTGGGATGATGGGAAAACCAGAACCACTAGGTCAGGCTGGTGAACAAGGATAGTGTTGTCTGTACTCTCTACAGGAACGTGTGTAGGAGCACAGCAGCTGGAGGCAGAGGGCTGGAGTTCAAACCCCATCTCAGGCTCTTACCGGCTGGGTGACTTGGGGGAAAGGCACTTGACCACTCGGGGTCTCGGTTACATCATTTGTTATAAGAAGCAAGGAGTAATAGTACCCACCTCACATGGTGCTGGGAGGCTCCTGTGAGTTTATACCCATGGAGCCTGGAGCGGCATTTGGTATGCAAGAGCATGTGTGTTCACCCTGATCTCATTTTTCAAGAGGATTATCTAGCCGCTGGCGAGTTTTCATCCATGTGTCAGAGACCTCTTTCCCAACTCTTGGTTCACGCATAAGAAACTTGACCTGGAAGAGGCAGAGCTGTACGCAGGTCAGGGGGATTATCCGAGTGTGTGTTTCTGGTATAGGGGAGGGGAACGGGGTGGGGGGGACGTAAGTGGGGCGTGGCTGCCCTGGTTTTCTGCACCAGTGTTTTTAGCTTGAATATGTAGGTATCTACGTTTGCATCTCTAAGAGGCATTTCCTCACTCTGCCTATTATGAAGGTTTCCATCCATCCATCCATCTGTCCATCCATCCATCCACCCGTCCATCCATCTGTCCATCCACCCTTCTTCAGCACTTATTTTTGCTGAGTGTTGTGTTGGAGTTACCAAAGTCAACCTTTTCCAGCTTGAGTTCCCCCAGAAAACAGAACCTGGAGCAAATCTTGTGTGCTAGTGCTCTAATGGTGCGTGCAATGCCCAGGAAGCAAGAGTGATGGGACAGAAGTAGAGCAGGGTGGAAGGAATGCAATGCCTAGGCGACATATTTCCAAGCTGGCCTCAGTGTCTCAGAGAACGTGGCCATTTGCTCAGTTCTGTGGACCGTCCCTAGAAAGGTCCTATGGAACCACTGGGTCCAGAGCAAGCCACCACGTGGGGAGAAAGTACAAACAGTTTTTTGGCTGGTTCCTCCCCACCCTCCATGTAAGTACTGTGTCATTCCGGACTGGATGGCTGCCCAACCCCCAACACTCCTGGCAGCCGGCATGATGTCCACAGTGTCTAAGCTCGGCTCTGCCACCAAGTGATTGTGTGCAACCCCAGACACATGCCCTGAACCTCTGTTGTGCTGTCAGGCAAGAGGCCCTTGGAGTCTTGGTGTGTGGGGGTGCAGGAGGCAGGACACCCACTCTCAGGTGGGCATGTGGCAGTGCTGGAAGCAACTGCTTTTGTCCTGTGACTGTGTTGAGGGAAGGAGCGTTCAGCCAGGGTCGCAACACCAGACCACAGCCTCTTGACCACCCACTGGCCCAGAGAAACAGGGTTCCCACCCACAAGTCTGTGGGGACGTGGCCGCGGCCTTGACCCAGCATGGTTTGAGGGCTTCAGGGAGGAATTTGCCCCAATGACACCTTCACCCCTGACTTTCCATTGCTCCCGAAAGGAGTTTTGAGTTAATTATCCTTGAATTAAGAACTGACCTCTATAAGACATTCTTCAAATTAAAAAAAAATTACGGAAAAACATACACGATATTTACCATGTTCACCATTTTTAGATGTGCGGCCCAGTGGTATTAAGTACAATCACACTGATGTGCAACCATCCCCGAGAACTTCTCGTCATTGCAAACCGGAACCCCATAGCTATGACCCAGTGATTCCAGTTCCCCATCCTCCTGGCCCCTGACGACCACCCTTCTCCTTCCTGTCTCTTTGCATCTGATTATTCCTGGTACCGCATCTACGTGAAAACACACAATATGAGTCCTTTTTGTGACTGGCTTAATTTCCGTTGGCATGACGTCCTCAAGGCTTAGCCATGTTGTTGCATGTGTCAGAAAGTCTTTCTTTTCGAGGCTGCGTGGTAGTCCACTGTCTGACTACAGCACGTTTTCTTTGTCTATTTATTTGTTCATTGATGGGCACTTGAGTTGCTTCTGCCTTTTGGCCGTTGTGATTAGTGCCGCTCTGAAGATGGGTGTACAGATATCTGTCCAAGTCTCTGCTCTCGTTTCTTTGGGGTATGTACTCAGAAGTGGAATTGCTGGATCATACAGCAGTTCTATTTTTAATTTTTTGAGGAACCTCCATATTGTTTTCTATAGCGGCTGTACCATCTTATATTGTGTGGGACTTTCCTGTAATAGGAGGTTGTGGTGTGAATATAAGAGGTCCCCCGAATGAGACACCCACCAGATGCACCGAATTTCCCTCTTTCCTTTTTACAGTGGCTCAGGGTTGCCAACTGGTTGTGAGGTACAGTCATTACCCCCTTTTATAGAAGAGCTTGTAGACCGTCTGATTTTATGGCAGGCAGTTGCTGTTTTTGCCTACAGCCTCTACTTGCCCTCCTTCCAGTTTTCCTTTGGGGAGCCACCCCTCCTCTACTCCCAGCATGTTCTGATCCAGTGGGGGCTGACGCTGCCCCGGAGATCCAGAGGTGAACCAGACATTCCATTTTCCCTGGACATGGTGATCAATTCAGCAGGGGTTCCATGACCCAAACCCGGCCAACAAGAGCCTGCAAGTATCTTCTGGAAACTTGCTAAGTGCTTGGGGAAGTGGAGTTTGTTGTCAACTGGGGTTGCCAAACGGTTAGAAAGTGAGTCTTCAGCTGCTGATAGCCGCGTCTGCCACCTCTTGGAAAGACCATAATGGAGCTTGAAGCTAACTTGGAAACACAGAGCGAAGAGGTGGAAAGAGGGAGACTCCGGACCATGTCATCGAAGCACCTGGATCTAACTGTACCTGAAGCTGTGAGATCTACTCCTGGACATTTCCATACCAGAGGCAAGAAATCTCCTTACTAGCCTAAGCAATTGAGTTGAATTTCTCTCCTTTGCACCTGAAGGGAATCCCAGCTAATTGAGAGATTAAGAAACTTGCTCAATGTGCCTCAGGCAGGCAATGGTGGAACTGAATACTTAGACCCCGAGGGGAGTTCTTGGCTTAGATCTGGATCCCAGCTCTGAGTCAGGACGAGCCCCTGTCTAATTCTCCTTCAGAACTCAGGGTCAGCATGCTGTCAGGGCACAGCAGCCTGGGACAGCTGGAGAATTGCAAGAGCCAGCCCAGAGGCGAGGCCTGGTGGGAGCTGAGCCCTTCTGGGAGCTGGCAAATGACAGCCCTCAGACCAAATCCAGCTCTCCTGTTTTTGTAACAGCCCACAAATTAAAAGGGAAAAACACCAAAACAAGAATATTCTGTGACACATGAAAATGTTACGATATTCAAATTTCCTTTTCCATAAATCCCATCTTCTTGGCTCAAAGCCACGACCATTCTCCAGCAAGTTGTCTCTGGCTGCTTTGGCTGTGCAGTGGTGAAGTCTAGCAATTGCGACCAAGATCACTACAATAGTTACTGTCCAGCCCTTTAAAACAAAGTTTGCCTGTTGCTGCCATAGCCTGAGCTACCGTCCTCAGCTCTCCCTGGCTCTCTTCCCAAACCACATGTCATGCACCCCTCCTGCTTCCTCTTCCCCCTGTGGGGCAGGACCCCACAAAATCAGTGAACGGATAGTAAGTACTCAGCACAGCACCTGGCACATCATTAGTGCCCCTGAGTGGAAAAGCTGCTGTTGAGCGACCTGACTCGGCAGTTAAGGACGCACACTGCGGCTGTGTGTCGTTTCCAACATTCAATCCCTTTGTGACCTTGGACAAGCGGTTCCAGTATCTCTGGCCTCAGTGGCCTTCTATAAGATCAGATCGTAATAGTATCGATCCCAGGGTCCTAGGGAAGGTCAGATGAGTCATTCTGTGTAAAGTGTGCTTGGCACACAGGAAGTACTCGGTAAGATCCTAATTGTTTTTCCTATCGCTTAATCTCCCTGAAGGAGGCTGAGGTCTGCCTACTTCTGAACGTGGCCCTGTTCTCACCCAGGGTCCCCCAGCAAGGCCAAGGCTGTGCCAGGAGCTAAGAGCCAGCCTCCAGACTTAGAGCATCGGTGCCTTGTCAGGTGGGGGCTTCGTGCTGGCCCTGGCAGAAGGCAGCCGAAGGTCTCACCAGCCAGGCGCTGACGTGGGGTCTGAAGCCAGGAGATCCTGGGCTTGGTCCCTCTCCTGTGAAAGTGCGTGTGTCTGTGCGTGCTTGTGCAGCTGGAGGAGACGGGCTCATTTTAAGGAAAAGAAAGAGCATGTGGGCCCGGGGCAGGGTGAAGAGGGCAAGCTAGGGACAGCAACCTGGACAGTGAATATGGTCCCATACCCTCTGCCCAAGTCTCTCAACCTCCTAGACCCTCAGAGGGGACTGGAGGAAAATCGGCAGGATCAAAGGGTCCTTGGGACTTCTGCCCAGGCTCAAGGCCATCCACAATAAGTTCTAGAAGTCGCGTAGGAGGGAGGATCTCTGTGACCTATTGCCTGGAGTCCCCAAGGCTCCAGGTTGGTCAAGACCTCAGTGGGGGTGTGCTGAGTAGCCGGGGCCTGGCTTTCTGACCTGTCCCTCATCTGACCCAGCCCAGACCTCTCCCCATCCCCTCCCTGCTGTGTATCCGGGCCAGAGCCCAGCCCTGCCACTCCCCACAGGCATAAGTGTCCCCTCCATTACCTGGAGGGCGGAGTGGGGGGGGTGGCAAGAGGAACTTCCTGGGCCCTTTCAGCCTCTGTCCCTCCCCCAGCAGCCTCACAGAGGTGACAGGAGAAAATGGGTGCCGAATGGACACACACACACACATATATACAAGCTCAGTGTAATGCCGTATATTCTCAGAGACACACGTACACATATCTAATGACACACACACCCAGGCACACACTCCTAGACAGATATGATCACACTCCCCACACATGCAGAGAACTACATACCCTTGACTGTCACACACGCAGCCCCACTCCGACCTCCGCTCACACTGGCACGTCCTGCAGGCTCTTCCTGACCTGTTAGCGCGACTGTGCTTATCTGGGCCAGAGCAAGCTGATGTCAGCCTTCCGGAGTGACTGTGAGAACCGCGTCCAAGGGACATCACACAGAGGCCACCAGAAGGTCAACAGGTTCTTACACACCATCTGGGCCAGTGGCTCCCATACCTGGAAGCACACCTTAAAATTAAAAATTCCCAAGCCCTGTTCCCACCCTAGGCCTAGTGAAACTAAATCTCAGGGAGAGGTGACCCAGGTAGGAGGGCTGACCTCACACAGGCTTTCTGGATGTTCTGAGGCTGGCTGGATTTAATCACCACTGGTCTAACTCAGCCTGTCGCTGTTCAAATGCCGAATGGAGGCCAAGAGACGGAGAGTGACTTGTCCAAGGTCACACAGCAATGGCACAGGAGAGCCAGGGCCAGAAGCCAGGTCTCCTGACGGTCCATGGAGACCCTGCCCCCTTTCCCCTACCTCCTGCCCCTGAGTGCCCCTCCTGGCTTTCTTCTGGGCAAGGGAGTCCGCTGGCCCTCCTGTTCTGCAGGGCCTGGCAGCACCAGGCTCTGCCCGTGGCAGGCAGTGCCCTGGAGAAGAGGGCTCTCTCCAACCCACTTCTCCCACCATGCACCCCCCGCCTCCAGGGCAGAGGCCCAGCTCAGGGATGGCAGGGGCTGGGCTTTGCCACAATCCCACATGTTCACCACAACAGGCCGGGCCCCCACCCCACTCCTGGGGCAGGCCGGAAAGCGGAGTCCGCACGCTGCCCAGACATCTGCATTTCGCACAGAGCCAAGACACACTACCCAGATGTTCGCAGAGCTCGGGGCTGGGTGTCAGCGGGGAGCAGACACCTGGGTGGAGGTTGATGTTTATGTTGGAGAGGAGGGGTTGTATCTGGTGCAGAGTCAGGTTAATTTGGCCCAAGCTGGGGGTGGAGGTGCAGCCTCAGGATGGCAGTGTCCCCCCACAGCCCCTCCACCCCCATGTGGTGTGCTAAGTGTGGCAGATGTGGCCTTTTCTGAATAGGAACCAGACCCCAGGGGCAGCAGCCAGGGGGCATAAACATAATACTAGCTGACTCATCACGAGCACTCGCCATCTGAGCTCTGCCCCAGTATCTCATTTAGCCCTGACAGTGATGCTGTGGGCGGAGCACACTTACTGTCCCCTTCTCTGGGCAGCTACACAGGGAGGTCACCTCACTGGCCCAGGCTCACTGTGGCCCAGGCTCACTGTGGCCCAGGTTCACCCAGTGAGCCGGTGATTCTGCTGGGCTTACCCCCTCTTATGGCCCAAGAGCACCCCAAGCCGTTTCTCAGGACCAGTCCCAGCATGCCCTGGAACACTTCTTTCCCCCAATATAATTTGCATATGAGAGAATTTTCATTGCGAAGATGGGAATCTGGGAGGTGGCCCTTTTCCTCGTGGTTGGAACTTGGAGGGGGTGGGGGGTGGAAATGGTAGGAAGTCAAGCCAGGCACTACCCCTACCACCCTCCACTGGTGGGTGGCTGGAGGAGGGGATGCCAAGTGTCCTGGGGCTTCCAGGGCAGAGAGAGGCTGCTTCTTCTTTTTTTTTTTTTAAGATTTTTAAAAAAAATTTATTTGTTAGAGAGAGAGATCACAAGTAGCAGAGAGGCAGGCAGAGAGAGAGGGGGAAGCAGGCTCCCCACTGAGCAGAGAGCCCGATGCAGGGCTCGATCCCAGGACCCTGAGATCATGACCCAAGCTGAAGGCAGAGGCTTAACCCACTGAGCCACCCAGGCGCCCCGAGAGACTGCTTCTTGAAGAGAAAGTGTGGTGGGGTCCCTGGGCTGTGGAGGAGAGGGACAGAGAACTTGGGACAGGTGACGGTTCAGAGGAGGGAGGGGTCCCATCAAACGGTTGCGCAGGACAGTCTCATAGCCAAGGTGGGGAGGCCCCGGGGTTTGACCCTGGATTATGGCTCAGAGACGATGGGCCCAGAGACATTCCACATCCCTCACGTGTTCCTGAGGCCCTCCAAGGACATCATCTTTGGGCCTGGGGTGGTGGACAGAGAGAACAGGGTGCTGGACTCAAACACGGGGTTCTGGGCTCAAGTCTGTGCTCTGCCACTGACCTGCCAGTGACTTGCTTCCCTGGCTCCTGGGACCTGCTTTCCTGGTTCTCTTCCTTCACTTCTCCTTTGCTGTTGCTTCCGCATCTCTCCTGCCTCACGTGGGAGCACAGGACCCATCCTGGCCTGTCTCTCCACTGCTCTCATCCTTCAAGGACACTCAGGTGAAGAGGATGGAGTCTTGCATCAGGAGAGCAGCACGAGTGAAGGCTTGGTGTTAGGGGTGGGGGTGGGGGGGTAGGAATTTGGTGAGTTGGAGGTACATGGTGTATTAAGGTGGGGGGAGCGCAGCAGTCTCCTGGGCCCATAATGAATCATTTCCAGAACCTGTAGTCTTTCAGCCAGGGGACTGTCATGAAAAAGTAGTTCTGTTAAGGCACAGAAGGTGTTTGGGAGAAAGTGACCACCAGACTCTGAGTTCTGTATCCTCCTGTGCATTGGGGTTCCTCCGTCCTCCTGGGGCCATTTCTTGGAGGAGGGGATCGATGTCAGAAGGGACTGAGGATCCCTCCCAGCAACTCCCCATGGGATCCCTGCACTTCCCCACACCACCTCAGCTGCCCTTGGGTAAGAAGGTTCTGGGCTGTCCAGGGCTGAATGAGGTCAGTGCTAAGCCTGTGCTCAGACAGGTTAATAGATCCACGCCAAATGCAAGCGCTGGCAATTTTCCCGCCTCTGGAAGGGCCTCCTGAGAGGCTGTCCACAGGGCTTTCTTGGCCAAGGCTGGGGCCTCCCCCGCAACCCACCTTGGTTCCCTGGCCGGGACTATACAGAGCAGCAAAGGGATAAAAGAGCTTGGACCTGGGGTGTTTGACTTTAAAATTGCTTGTCTGCCTGGCAGTGCTGGGAGGAAGGGAAGCCTCCGTCCCTCTTTGGCACTCCTTGACCTTCATCTTGGGGAAGACTTGGCTGCCCCGGCCAAGGGAGACAGCAGACCAGTGTGCATGTCACCTCTTGGGCTGCTATCCTGGACTCGAACTGCCACAGAGTCGCAGCGTCTAGGCTCTGTCCTCCCCAGCATACTGGGCCGTGGGGCTATCATCTGTTCTGGAAGGAAGGGGACAGGATCATCTGGGTGTTGTGCTCTGGGGACTGGGACCTGGCTTCCAGGGACACCACCTTCAATCCCCTTCAGTGACCAGCTCACCAGTCAGACCCAAGCTGGGTGCTGTAGTAGAGAAAGCACTGGGTGGTGCTGGTGGTGGTGGGGTACAAAGGGAGGGGTCACCAGGGGTTTGTCAGGGAGCCTGGCTCTCCCATAACCTGCAGGGCGATCTGGAGAAGCCTCTTCCCCTCCCTGGGCCCCATTTCCTCCCCTGTACAGTGACTCATTGGCCTGAGGCAGCTCAAGGGATCCCTTTGTTCTGCCTCTCTTGACCTGGATGCTTTGGCTGCAGCCAGGCCTCACCTGGCTGGGTGGAGACAGGGGTTCCAGTCCTGGCCGCAGGTGACTGGGGACAGCCCACTGTTCGGCCACAGCTACAGAGCAGCCAGGATCAGCGGAGTCACCGCCTCCCACATCCTCCCCCATCCTCGCAGGCCCCCTTGGGGTGCTGTTCTGCTCATCACTTCACCGGTCCATTGGCCCTTTCTGGAAAGTCCGGGCAGGACTCTTGGAGTGAAAAACGGTAGCTCCATGAGAGCCTTCTGTCCAGGGAGGCCAAGGCCTGCAGAATGTTCCCGCCCTGTGAGGGCCTGCATGGTGTGCCAGGCACAGAGGGCATGAACTGTTCAGAACTTGGGGGCCAACGCGGGTCCTCCATGGGTCCCCTGAAAGGCAGGCAGGAGGACACCCGCGAGACGCTTTTGAAACCTGCCTCTGCTGAGAGCAGGCCAACTTCGGGGCCCAAATTTAGTTCTGATTCAGCTCCCCAGGCCAGGCCACAGAGTGGGGCCCCTGTGCCGAGCCAGGGTGCACATGCACTAGCACGGAGGTGGGGGCCTGAGTGTGCATGGCAGGGGAAGGAAAGGAAGATGTGTTTTTATGGCTCTGGTGATCAGCTCCTTTTTAAATCCAGTTTCAGTTTTCTCGGACATCACTAACATCTCCTCCCAGCCCTCCCCATGAAAGAAGTTCATCCATAACTTTAGGGCTAAGGGCAAGAAGGCACCAAGAGGTCACTTCTCTTGTCCAGGGTCCCATAGGCCCTTAGGGGGCGATGTTGCCCACTGCCACCCCCCACCAGCTTCCCCTGCCCCACGTGTGCCCCTGTTCCCCAAGCCTTGGAGAAGCTCCAAAGTCACCTTGTTAGGATCCCGGGTCTGTCCTGTGTCTGAGACCCAGCTGGGGGCAGAAAGTCACGGAGACCAGAAGCAGGAAGTGGCTGGAAGTCGAGTGGGACTCCAGAGTGAGCACCTGGCCCCGAGCTGGGATGACTGTGCACTTGACAGTTCCTGGGGGGCGAGCCAGCGGAGCAGCTGTGGCCTGAGAGCGGGCCTTGGCCCCTGACCTGGACCTCAGGGAGGCTGGCACACCCTGGACTTCCTCCCCGGCGGCCAGCCCCTTCCACAGGAGCCACTCCTGGCAGGACAGCTGATGCCCAGGCCTTCGTGGGGTGAGGGGGCCTGGCGATGAGGACACCCACTGGCCTGTCATCTCCCCTGCAGTCAGTCCACAGCGGCCTGTGGTCTCCGCACTTGTCCCCTGGCACGCCTGGGGTCAGGGGCCTAGCAGGAGCCTCCTCTCTTTGTTAGTCTTCCCTAAACCAGAAAGGGGCTCCTCCATTAGGCAGTGTGGCTTGATTTTTTGGGGGGGACCATTCTTGGGGGGGTGAGTCCTGATATAGATGAGGAATATCCAAATTAATGAATGTACCTCCATTGCCTTGCAAAACTCAGCAATAGTGTGACCGGATACCAACAGAGCTGCCCTTGGCTGTCCCTGGGTCTCCCCTTTAAGGAAAAGACCAGAGACTCTAGAGA